GTGTTTCTTGAAATATCGGTCCGGCAATGTGCTGTTTAATTTGGCCGGCACATATTATTTCAAAGAAATGTTTGTTACCCAATAACAAATCTATTTTCTGCGGGCGTCTAAATAACGGGTCCGCGAGATTTATATCATTGGGAGTTACGCAATTTTCCACCTCATTATTAGGCATACAATGTGTGATCTTTTGTACGACTAGGCAGGTCAATATTAAATTGAAACTATTATATCGCAATGTGATTGAAACATTTACAGCGCGCGTAACCGGTTGTGTTATCCCACCGACACCCATTACTGTGTGCTGCACTTGGTACCTTTTTAATCTTATATTTTGAACCATATTTTCGGTAATTAAATTACACTGTGAGCCGGAATCTAACAATATACGGCATTCGACGTTTTCACCGCTGGCATTGTGTATATGCACTACCGCTGTTGATAATAATACCTGCTCGTAATTTTGTACCAGCGTATGAGCACTTATTGATGACGATGCCGTCGACGTGCTTTCTTCCGCGTTTTCAGTTGCTTTTTTAATACCTTGTTCTGCATTTTTATTTTGAACTAAATGCAACAATGTATTATGCGGTTTCGAACACTTAAAGCAATATTTCGAAAAGCACTTTTTATTTTCGTGCTGACGTAAACAAATCTTACATAATTTCAATTCAGTTACTTTATTTATTCTTTCTTTTATCGGTAAGGCAATTAACGTTGGACATTTATAGATAGTGTGTGGCAACTGACACACGTAACACTTTAAACCCGCACTTATCATTAAAGACGAAAATAGATTATTATATTTGTTCGATTTGCCTTGTCCTGTCGATCCGTTACCAATAGCCCCTCGCGTACTACTATGTACGTTTTTCGTTGATTCGATGGCTTCTAATATTTTAAATCGATTTTCCAGGAATTGCATTATCTCTGAAACATCGGCAATTCTGTCTTTAGGGCTGCCCGCCTCCCACTCTTGTAACGTTTTTTTGTCTAATTTGGTACTAATTAAATGCATTAATAACGGGCCCCAACTTTCCGGCTCTTGATCTAACGCCTCTAGAGCTCGCATGTGACCTGACAACGCATCGAAAAAACATCTAAGTTTTATTGCCGAGTCACTCTGCAGCGCATCCAACTCAAATATTGCCCTCACGTGGGCTTGTATTCGAACCTTTTTGTTATTAAATCTCGCACACAGAATGCTCCACGCTTTTTCATAATTATTTGCCGTTGTCTCCAAACATCTTATCGAGTTAGCCGCCTCTCCTGATAGCGCTTCGCGCAAATGAAAAAACTTTGATACGGGTAATAGGTCCGGGTGCGTATGTACTAGCGCCGTAAATGTATCATAAAACGACGCCCATTCTAAATAATCTCCATTAAAAACAGGTACCTTTAATGCCGCTAATTACACTTGAGGTGCCATACTGATTTTCCCTATACTTCTTTCGCTCGCCATCGCCATATCTCCTCGTTCAGAGGTAGTTTCTTTTACCATTCCTGGAGACATAATTTTATTTGCTTCTACTATCGCCTTAAAGTATAGATCCTCGAACTCTATACGATACTCCGTATTTTCGTTTAAAATGTTTATATCCTCCGACAATTCAAGCGCCGTTTGAACCTGGTCAAATTCATGCCAAACTTCTTCAATTTTTTATTTTCTTAACGATACTTGATTTGGATCTAATTCTTCACTTTTTAGGTAAGTCAAGAATCTCGTAATTGTGCCTTTTAGTTGGCCGCGTCTTATCGTGAAATTTCTTTATTCACCCATATCAAATATCAATTATTACCGTTTATAATTTATATTACGGCTGAATATAATATTATCTCGCTTATTACGTTAAACCTGTTGGCTGCTATCTGCGTTTATTCGACCTGCTTCACGCACTACGTACAAGTTTTTTTTTTTTTTTATATATATTATTATACTCACTAGGTGAAACCCAAGGAAATTTTACACAGGAATTATTTTTAATCAGAGACTCTTACCTTTACGCCAGACGTTGATTGACAATTTTTCTCGAGAGGCCCAGCTATTGCTTGGGAAACTTGATCGTCGCTGAGGTTATTGATTTGCCCCTTTTTCGCCATCAACAATACACCATATAAGCCGTATTACTGTACTTGCCAGCTGCCTGCACGCCACTATGGATGTAATTTATATTGTTTTCACAATTTTCGAAATATACGAATATCCGATTTATTTAGCTCGTAAAAGCCACGTAACAATTTTACTACGCATATGCGACGCACAATTTTATTTTACCCGCAGTTAACTTTGTAACTTTAACTTTCGCACTATCCTCGATTAACGACTAAAACACGACATACACTTTGCTAACCAACACTGAATATCCGGGTCGATGGACCAAATGTTGCGGAGTGGACTGTAAGTTTCCGATGCTGGTTACTTCGGATATTCAGTTTTAATTAGCAAACTATTTAAATTAATAAATTACACGAAATTGAGCTATAAAACTGTTAAATAAGTTTATTTTTATTATTACGATGGAGAGCCGACATGTCCCGTTCGCTATTTTTCGACGACTAACTAAACTATACATATTTTCAAAACTTATCAAAGGCAAATCCGCGTCGGCCCCACTAGCCGATAACAATATCATTACGGTTATTACCTTTCTTTATCGATAATATTTAAACCGATACGCGACAACGACAAAGTCCACTAGGAGATCACCCCTTGCGTCGTCCCTCGGGCAGCCCCACATCGCTGAGTGAGCATTCAAGTCCCCCCCCCCCACCACGACTTGACAATTCTGGTGAACACGTATCGAATCATCCAAGCGGCCGAGATATTCCTCAAACTCAGCCGCACTAAAATTAGGGGTAAGTAGCAGCTGTAAATCACCAGGCTCCCCAGCTTGATCCAAGCAAAGCCCGTTCCACTACCCCTGTCCTCGATGGGAGGCGCTGAGTGGCCAACAGCGACGGCAGCACACTTATTATCATTGCTAGAGACCCAGTTCGCATCATCCGCTGGGTTGCGCAGCTGCTCCGATACAAGTACAACATTGATTGATTGATCCAACACCGTCTGCTTAAGGCAGTGCCGTAAAAATCATAGGTGCAGGCGGTGCACAGCACTGGGGCCCGCAGGGTCATAGGGCCCTTGGGGCCTTGGCGGATAGAAATCAATTATTTTTTTAATGTAAAAGCCTGGTCCGTCTTATTGCTTATCAAAATATTGGGAAATTTATTAAGCCAAGAGTGATATAAATAGATTTTTTGATTATTATACGCGACATCTTCTTGTGATCTTCTTGAGCAAGCAATTGGATCATTATCAGAATTGAGACAAAATTACAGTGACATTGTTAATATTGCCAATGATTTGTGTTCTAAATGGGGTATTTCATCTAAATTTCCATCAAAACGCCAACAATTCGCCAAATTACATTTTGACGAAATCGATGGTGACAGAAGATTAAATGTAACAGAAGAAAACTTTAAAATAAAAATATTTTATCCAGTTGTAGATACTGCTTTAGCACAACTAAAAAATAGATTTAAAGGATTAAAAGTAATCTCATCGACTTTTGAATTTTTAAATCCAACCTTTCTTATAAGTACTGAAGAAAATGATTTAATAAAATATGCATTTGATTTTATTCAACTGTATAAGTCTGAAGTGACTTCAGATTTTACTCGACAGTTACTAAGTATCCAATCCATAATAAAAAATAAATCAGATATCAGAAACATTAATGATGTTATAAAATTTATTGTGAACAATGATTTATCAACAGCTTTTTGTGATGTTCTAACAGCTTGTATAATTTTTTTGACAATTCCTGTAACTGTTGCTTCAGCTGAAAGATCTTTTTCCAAACTTAAATTAATAAAAAATTACTTGAGAAATTCTACTTCTCAAGAAAGATTAAGTAATATATCAGTATTAAGTATTGAAAGAGGTCATACTGATGAAATTAATATAAAAAAGATTATTACTGATTTTGCAAATGCAAAAGCTAGGAAAAAAATGTTTTTTTAATACTTAACCATTATAAAATATGTGTATTATTATATATTATTTTTATTTTTATTTCTAGTGTTAAATGAAAATTAAAATTGTTATTTTTTTTGTAACTTATTTATTTTATCTACATTGGTACCTATGTTGTTTATTTTACAAGTTTTTTTATTAATAAAATCTACTCAAAATAAAATTGTGATCCTGTATACTTAGGTACTGCATTGAAGCTCTACACAGAATTTTTTCAACGAGAAAGTTATGTATTGTTTCTTTAAAATCCTATACATCCACAAATACTATCCTATCTAAGAAGTAAAAAATTCCCATAGTGTCAGTACGACTTTTATATGTATCTCAAGAAAGAGGGGGGGTCCATGCATTTGTTTGCACCTGGGTCTTTGACTCTCTAGTTACGGCACTGGCTTAAGGAGTTTCTGGGCCGCCCAGCAATGGTTCAAATTGATTTGCATGCACCGGATCATTGTAAGTGGCCTGAAATAGTACCACTATTCGAAGGTTTGAGAGTTTCGCTCCTGGCTTTGCATGCACCCGAACCTGGTTCGTGTGTGAAGCGCACGAAGCCAGCCCTCTCACAAGCAATACACCGATCTTTAACCACCGTGCACTGCTTCTGCTCGTGGCCCGGTTCACCACACCGTCTGCAATTAATTGACATATCCGGCCCAGAGCAATTACTACTCCTGTGCCCGTGACAGTGGAAACACTTCTCTGGTTCTGGCCGTCTAGGACGTACACGGCACATAGTCCATCCAACCGGGATCCTGGTTACGGCAGAAGCAGAAGCTCTGGTCATTCTGACCGTTGCAATTTGCTGGCCAGACCTAGTGGACCAGAGATCTATGATTTGCACAGCTTGTCGGCCGTAAATGGCGGCTTGATCGTCTTTGGCTCCAGGTATTGCCGCCCGCAATGCAGCGAGGAGCTCGCCTTCAGTCGCCACCGCATCGAGGTCGACAATCTCAACTACGGCGTACTGACCAAGGTTCGACACCGCACCGACCGCTTCTCCCAACCTGGTAGCGATGGCAGAAGACGGCTTCTGAGCTGCTTCGACCGAACTAACACCTTTGGCTAGCTCGGCCAACAGATGCCCGTTCCTAGTCCTGCGCATCCCGGTTACCTGCGCGCCAATTTCCGCCAGATTGAACTCGCTATTTTGTCTTACTGCACGAACGATGTCCGCGTATGACGAGCCAGCAGCCAAATTGACTAAAACCGCCGGGGGCTTAGCCCTGAGCTTCGCCCCAGTCCTCAGAGGTATATGGAGGCCCATTGCTCTTCCACTGGGTGGAGCTGTGGTTGTTTTTCTGCCAACAACTTCCCTCCGCCCTTCGCCATCCGTTTCCATCACCGATTCAGCTCCAGTATCGGCGTGATTTTCCACCGCTGATGGCCCCCGTGCACCTGACTTGGCGGCGTGACGTCATGATGACTCCTTCTTCCGGCGCTCCTGCATGCTCTCCCACCAAATAGGAGTCAGAACGGTGTCAGTTCCGACGTCCACCATCTCAGGCCTGATAAAGCCCCTGTCCTTTGGGCCAGTCACTAGTTGGCCTCTCAGTTTCTTAGTTGGGGGAAGAAGTGGAGATCTCAATTTCCTCTTTTTAGTTAGCATCGAAGCCACGGTGTCATAGATATCTTCAAGCATCTTCATGAGTCGGTTGGGCGCCGATTTATCGCCCCCTGATCTCACTTCGTTCATTGCTGATTTCAGCGAGGATTTTATGTACGCCAGTCCCGCCTCAATCTGGTTCTCACTGCCCTCCACAGTGGAGGTGAGTGTGGAGATGGTGCCCTTTCTTTTACTGCCCATTACTGGTGTGGTTTCTCCGTCGGTACACGGTCTAGCGCCCCCCCCCCCCCAGTCCAGGATTTGGAGACGCAACCACCCCGACACCCGAGACACCAGATTCGATTTCCATGACGTCATCATTGACATCGAGGTTGCCGTGAATCATGCTTCTACGGCTCAGAGCTAACTAACTACGCGCCACCCTGTATAATATACAGGGTTCAGGTAGTCCGAGCAGTTCCGTGTGCTATTTGCTTAGTATATCTATTCCCGCTGAGCGCTGCCCGAAATCGCAATAACGAGCTCGGTGACCGTTCGCCGGCTGACTTTTGGCCGACCGCGAGCTGATAATAAAAGTAATAAACGTTACTCCTACCTTAATCCGTAGTAATACAAACGTAACTTAAAACTGCCCTTATGGGGAAGGTTCTTATAGGACTGACTCAAAACCGACACCGATCCTTGCGTGCACTTTTCAGGCACCTCTAGGTACAAAAATCACAAAAAACTGTTAACAATTGTCGGCTGGAGGCGCAATAATATCAGGACAGTGCTAATACGCATACTACCGCTAAGACAGCTACCGCTGAACTAATCTCTGTCCCCTAGTTTCATTGGATAACATACCTATACCCACTTCCGATAAGTAAAATATTTAGGCCTTTTCTTAGACAAAATATTGACCTAGAATCCGTACATCAGATCCAAAAGATTAATTTTAAACACTCGTTCTCGTATGCTCAAAACTTTGTTATCAAAAAATAAACTGCTAATTTACAAAACATTTTTAAAACTGATCTGGACTTACGGTCTTCAGCTTTGGGGTGCGGCAAAGAAATCGAATTTAAACAAAATCCAATCTTTTCAGAATATCACCCTACTTCAACTCACGAACGCCCCACCATACATTTAAAATTTAACACTCCATAACCATCTACATGTTAAATCGATCGAAGAGGAATCTGCATTATATTACAAGCGATTCTTCTCACGTCTGGCGAACCATAATAACCCACTAATCAGTAACTTAAATATCTTAACACTTCCTGATAATCCTCGTTGTCGACTGAAAAAGAAATGGAGTAGCAATCTTTTACAATAATCAATCAAACTCTTCCTCTTTCCGAGAAATAAAAATATATAAAAGTATTATTACCTTATCTTCCGAAATCTCTCATCACGCAAAGAGTCACTAGTGGGTGACTTCTTCATCACACTCATGGCATGTTTTCTGTCTCTTTTCACTTATACTTATTATGCTAAGCAGTATAGAGTGTATAAATATTATATATATAACAAAAAACAATCATAAAACACTCAATACAAGTTAGTAAATCATTAAATGTTAATGTGTTTGTGAATTAAAATATTTCTTATGTATTGGTATTAAGAATTTATTATTGCTAGATAATAGATTGTTTAGATATAGAAAAAACAGTATGTACACAAACACTTTGAATTTGTTTTATGGTAAACCTAAATGTAAAGTAGTCCTATAATTTCTAATTTGATTATGTTGTGTTAAGTACTAGGTGGAATGTTGTGGTTTTCAAAATTGACATCTGAAACAATTAATTATCAAATATCAGTATTATATTATTTTAAACAAAATAAAGAAAATATATTTTTAATTTACCAATTTAATTGTGTATAATATAGATTAATGGTCAATTTATTCAATGTCAAAACATCAAACGTTCATATGAAGAGGATATAAAATTAACAGGAAATTTGAGAGTGTGCCCAAAGTTATCCAAAAATCACATCAAGCTTAGTGTTTTTGATAAAATGAGAGTTCGTTTTGCCACTCTGGTAGGATATTTATCTAAAAATAAAAATAATACTTCAAAATATGAAGAATTAATGCAAGTATACATATTTAATTTTAAGTTAAGTTATTACTTAATTTTATGTACAGGTCTTGAGACATTTAGTGGCCAATGGATTATTGTTTTATAAAAGCTATAACATTGTTTGATATGTAGACTGTGAACCTACCGCCGTGTTTTGTTGTACATTTAATGATTGATTTGAAGTCCTCAATAGGAAATTTGTTGATGAGTGGATGGCAAAGCTTACCTGGAAAATATATAACTTTTACCTGTTCATATAAATAGACAGATTTTTTTAGATACACGACAGAGGCCCAGTGGCGCAACCAGGATTTTTTTAAAGGGGTGGTCCAAAAATATAATTATTTTAAATTAACATGCAAACATTATTTTATTCTTTGTTTAATGTAAATATTGTTATTATAATGTAAAATTGGATGATAGTTAAATGTAAAAAATAAAGGTAGGTATGTACAATGTTGTATAGTTTATAGAATGAAATCTAAGCGATGTTTTGCGCAGCTTAAATGATTTATTACTTCCTCAGATGTTAAGCTGACTTCGTAGTGGATATTGAGAGCAGCTAACCCATTGAGTCTTCTTTCTGATGTGGTATTTCTCAAGTAACTTTTGATTCTTTAAAGTGTGGAAAATTATCTCCCCGCCTCACATGAAGTAATTGGAAGTGTGATAAGTATTTGCAACAGCTTATATATATTTGGGAAGAAATCGGGATTGCATTCATTAAGTATTTGAATTACACTATTATATTGGATATTACTGTCACTCAAATAACGATTCCATAAAATGGTTTCTGATTTAACTCGATCAAAATCATCAACATCGTTAGCATAAAACCCAACAAGTTCTCTAAGTTGTTCTTCATTAAACGCTGAACTTTTAAGTAACATTTGAAATTTACATATTATATTTTGATGATTAACAAAACGATCATTTAACTGTTGTACAAACAAATCAAGAAATGGTCAAAACAAAGTAATTCTAAAATATTCTTCGGGATCTTTTGTTGGAATATTAGCTCGATTTTGTTGACGCTTAGCTATCTTAGGCATTTCAATAAAAAATTCAAAATCGTTTAATCTTTTATTAATCTCAACATAAGGTTGTTAAATTCAATAGTGGCGTTTACCCTAATAAAACTCAATTGATTTTTTACTAGATTAATATGTCCAACAGCTTCCACCAAATCAATATTTTTATTTTGTAAATATTTACAAAGAGACTGTGTATATTGAAAAATGTAATTGAGAATACCGAGGGCTACATTAAATTCAGAAGATTGCAATGCCAAAAGCAGTTGATTAGCTTTACTCGATGTATCAATATCTTTCTACGTAATCATTTCTTCCAAACAATAAATTATTGCAGGGAAAAAATCATTAAACGTTTCTATTGAATTATAACGTTCAACCCACCTAGTTGGGCAAAGTCTTTAAAGTTTTTCCTTTTTAGAAGCAGATTCTTTTTTTTCAACTCAACCAGATGTATATTAAAAAAATGCTGTTGTTTTGGAGTATTTAAAATGTTATAGCACGCTTCTACAGTACCCATAGTGTTTCTTATTCCTTGAATATTGCAAGCATATGATACGGACAGATTGAGATTATGGGCACTACAATGTATGTACAATGCACTCGGATATTCTTTTCTAATTAAAGCTGCAACACCATTTAATTTTCCACTCATACTTGCGGCACCGTCATAACTTTGGCTTCGTAGATTTTTTTATCCCAATATTTAAGCCTTTTAATTCGGTAACAATATGATTTGCTAAGCTTTGACCACTAACATCATCCACTGGGAAAAATTTTAAAAAACTCCCACACATATTATTTCGTTCACGTCATAATATCGAGCACATAAAGTGAATTGTTCAACACCTGATACATTTGCCGTTTCATCGGCTATTATTGAAAAAATGTACTATCATTTATTTTTTTTACAATTTTTGAAGTAATAATATCATAACAAATATTTGCTTAATTTAAAATATTTATTTAATTTTTATAACAACTATTTCATTTTGAATTTTCTAGCTGATATATTGAGCATTTTTAGAACAATATTCTCTGGCTAACTTAAAACTTTCGTCGCCAGATAAGTAGTAGCCTTAAGAAAAAATCTTAGCAATGACCTAAGAATTTCCTTCGTTTATTAATGGTTCAATTATATTTAGTGGTCCAGAGTCGCGGTGACCTTTTGCGTACCACACAAGATTGCCGAATTAATCACAGGGATTATTTTCTTTCTGGATTTTTTCCGCTTTGTTTAGTTTATGGTAAACAGAATCCACTTTTCCTGTAATAATTGACGAAATTTGTTGAAAATCGATTACACTATTTTGATGGTAGTTAGTTTTTTCGTGCGTAGAAAACTTTTCTAAAGCGTGTTTCCATTTGCTGAAACCTTCCGTGCAAAGCTGGCCTAATAGCTGACTACCCTTTCCACCTCAACATTTGAAAAAAAGCACACAATATTTGCAGTAAGCACCATCTTCTATATTACTATAAGCTAGCCAATTCCATTTTTCTAACCATCCAAATTGATCTGTCACAGAGCTACAAAAACTAAACTTACCAAATTATCAAATCTAATATTTCAATCAACTTCACCAGAGTCAAACTTCGTAAAGCCATTATCTGAATAAGTATCAACCAAAACGTTAAATCTCAATGAATATAAACCCAAAAGTTAAAAACCGCA